TCCCTCCCAACTTCCCCCGCCCCGTCCTCCTTGTCCGCTCCCCGCTCCGTCCTCTCGGCCTCGCCGTCCCGTCCTCTCTCCGTGCCTCCGCCGACGGCGTCTGCCGCTCGTTTTGATTCGCGCGCCGCCGGCTGTCCCTCGCCCACCGCCCATCGCCCGTCGCCCGCCGCCCACGGGCGCGAAGAGCGCATCGCGCGGCCTCCCACCGCTGGGGCGCCCGCGTGGGAACGGTCGCGCTGCCCGACGGAGGCGGGAGATTCACGTCACCCGAGCTCTCGCTTCACAGGCGCCGACGAAACGGGGAGAGAAACAACAGGCGGGGCTACGCGTTTTCGCATTTGAATATTTGAGATGAACTCGTTTTACATTTGCAAATTCAAAACACCGGAAGTTAATCATTTCAAGGTCTTTCGCATTTCCGTCGAATGTAGTGATATTTTTTTATAAAGATCACGAAAATAAATCTCGGATCAGCCAGTCTTCGACATAATGTTAAATAGCACTTATGGAGCTCTTCGCGAATCGAAAGGCTACCTAAGGCGCTTTTGAAATAAACTTCATGATCGAGTTCTGGCCCTGCTGCTGTCGTGAGTGTGCTACTCGTATTCCTTCCCTTGGTACTCGTGGTGGAAATTCCTCGCAAGCCAATACGAGGGAGGTCACGACGACTTTCACGTTGCATTCAGTGGGATTATTTCCAGATAATAGTTTTTACTACACTTCCAGATAATATATTTTATACAGTTTAAAGTATAAATTTTTATATATTTCTTTTAAAAGCGATCTACTTAATGTGCCATCAACAAAGTAATACAAAGTAGCAAAAATGTGCAGTTCAATATCGTCTGAAAACGTTTCATTGACTAGAGAAATGCTTTCCTTTTTCATGAGCTCTTATATGTACGACATATGCTATACTCGCACGTTTTCTTGATTTCCGAATCTTCTTGATATCCGAACCTTGCGAAGATCTTTACAGAGCAACGAACGGAGAAACTCAAATTTGGCTCGAAACAGCACGTATTAATTTCCAATGCTGCCATCAACTACCCTGTACCTTCAAATCGCTTCAAATTATCACGTTATTCCTCCTTTTATTGCGTTTCTTAGTAGTTTGCTTATATTGCTCTGAAATTGCAAGACATCTTTGGCATTTTCTTTGGTCAAATGAAATTGGGTTTTGCAGTTAAATTTACTAAAGTATATTTTTCTCTTTTTACAATTTAAGATCATTATTCTCGAGTACAATAAATAGTCCGGCTTCTAAAAGTCTATTCGTATATTCGATGAAAAGGAGGAAAAAATGAAAATTTGAGATACAAATAACTCACTGCTCGCTCCTCACTGAAGATCGAGCTAAAGTAGACGCATTGAAAAAATATTTCACAATAGTATTACAAATTTGATCTTTTTCCTACATTTGTAAATAGATTATAATTCAAAACAAAAAGAAAAGATCATTCAAAAATGTATGGATTGATTAGTAAATGATCAATAGTGCGAACTAAATGGCATCCCGATAGATATCAAAATTGAAGAAGATGGTATTCTTCTATATGAAAAGCTGGTTCGTGTTTCTATTAACAACGTATGTCAGCCAAAAAGGTGGAAAAAGCATTTCTATAAATGATTTCAAAAGAGGCGATAAAATTAAAGTGTTTAATCCAGCCGATGTCACTCACTTGTGGTGTCAATCAATAGAATGTGAATGCCAAGAAATATCAGGCGCCAATAGTATACGATAAATTAGATTTTCTTTGGGAAACATGGATTTAGAAGCAGACTTTTTTCCCAAACAAAGTTATTTCTCTCTTTCAAGTGCAAGCTGACACGGTTGACGGAGCAAAAACTGGCAGAAGCAATCAATTTTGCTAAAGCATTCTTTTAACTTCCGCATAAACTATTAATCGAGAAATAATGTAGGTGGTAACAGACTCTCGAATAGTGGCATGTATTAACGAGTTTCTTATCAACATAAAAGAGATAATTTGAGAATAACAAGAGTTTTAGAATATGTTACGTATCAAGGCCAATAATGGAAAACCAAGTGTACAGGAGTACTCGTATAATGCAATGTGAATCCACAAAACAAAGCGCATAAGTCATAACGTCCGATCACTGCAATTTGTTGTCCGTTATTCAAATGACTTTTAATACAGACATACATTCCTATCATTTACAAAGACCTATTAATCAAGACTTTTTCTAAAATACAAAATAAACACTATTACCAAATACCAGTGTTTACACTCAAACACCTACACTAAAACTTATTTTAAAAAACCTTTACAGGTACGCCATTAATCGATTACAAATGGTGATTTCTTTCAAGAATTAATATTTAATATGCAGAATTTATGTGTAATATGTCTATATTTATTATTAATATGAATTGGCCACGCATCTCACCTCTTATAATGGGTGTCTCCCAATAGAATTGCCAACGGGAAGATCGACGCATTACTTGAGAAGATATGAGTGAGATATTTCAATTATCTTATGCTAATCCACATCTCCGGCGATTTTCAAAATTTCAATGACCCTCAGCTTTCCTTTCCATGCGTTCCCCCCACGACGAGTGGTCGGAGATCACCGAGATGGTCACTTCACATTTTCGAAAAACATTAACAATATCGTTAACCCCACATTCGTGATATTTTTAACACATTTCAAAGTGAAGAGTTGAACTTTGCTTTCCTTTGATATTTTCGACATCTCAAACTGAAATTCAGAATTGAACTTTGGGATAGACAGTTTGTTACATGAAGAATCATTTTGCAAATTTCTCTCGCTCATCTCTCTCCACTCTGGCGTCGTGGTGACAGGGTCTTTGGCATCTAAGGGCATGTACTCATCTCCTAACATCCTGCACGTCTTGTTTCGCGTTTTCAGATCAACAGACCCCCACAAGGTATGAGAAATCGAGTGACTCACCTGCTCACCTGGCGCCGAACAGCGTGGCGGCGGAGGCGGTGGTGGCGGCGGCGGTGGGGAGCAGCAGGAGGGCGGAGGCGGTGGCGAGGGCGAGGGCGAGCAGCGCGGCGGCGGGGGCGGCTGCGGGGGCGGTGGCCGCCCCGTTGACCCCGCCCACTTTGCCCTGGGCGATCACCTCCATGTCGCGCACTTCGGGCTCTGCGCACACAACACGCCACACCGTCGCCGACAGCCCCGTGGACAGCAGGCAGCCGAGCCCCGGCCGCCCTTCACACGCCGCGCCAACACGCGCGCGTCACGGACCGCCACGCCCAGCGCCACGCCGCGCCACGCCACGCCACGCCGCGCACGCCCAGCGCATACGGACGACCACCCATTTATCGGGCGCTTTGTCTACTTTACTCTACGCGGAACGAAAATATTTACTACAACTCTCAATTAACGAAACAAATCTCATTTCTGGGAAGGTCGGGTCCCTTGAGTTTAAGTCAGAGATACAACAAATGCAATTTTGTTACGTCATGAATGACAATTGTTATTAAAATTATTAACTTTTTTCTGTTACTTTTCACAGGTATTCATCACGTAACTAAATTTCATTTGTTTTTTATCTGCCTTAAAAATCAAAGGTTCTGACCAACCCAGGAAATAAAATATACCTCCAAAACAGTCTTCATTAATCCTCAATTTACTTTGAATCTTCGTAATAAACAGAAAAAATAGCTTGAACATGAAGCAGTCACTTCTCAATTATCCTTTATATTAGAGACATTTTGCACCACGTGGTTCTAATGAGCGTAAAGTGCTAACAAACAACAGTGATTACATTTTGTAAGCCAAGAGCGTTTTGCCATCTTTTTCTTGCTAAAACATTACGTTAAATTCACAGAAAGGCAAATTTTGATACTTGGTACTTCCTGTTTTGCTTCGTATATGAGCTAGTGTTTATTGGACTAACGAGACTGTTTCAGACATGCCAGTACGGTCCTGCCGTCGCAAGTTATAACAAATTCCATTAACGTGATGTTGATCGTTCATTTTGTGGAATATGGTGTTCTGTATGTAAGATATTACTGGGAGTTTACCGCAAATTGACTTAAGAGTTTGTACATGTGCAGAAACATATGGTTGGATTAGCATTTCGTTTCACGTGGTGCAAAACTCTAATTAATTAATTTTAAACACAAGAATAAGTCTAAAGAAAGAGTCTAAAATCGGCTAATAAATATAATTTTACATCAATTTTGTTTTAGAATACTTATTTGTATATATTTTAAATCTTGCAACAACTATTGTACCCTTACAGGAAATAAGTTTACAAGTGTTTGTAAAACCTACTCAATGAACAGAATTTATAATATTTTAACTTTCCAAATTGAAGATTATCCCGCAAAATTATAATCGAAATGAATGCTTCTAGATACACTGTATATATAAAAAACGAAACTAAAGCAACACAATTATACAATTAATTTAATATAAGTAAACAGTTCAATAAAAAATATAACAAAATAACAGGGTCAGAAACCGAGTAAATTCTCACTAACAAAAGAATGGCGCTGGGCGTGCTGACGGCGACATGGGTGGCGCTACAATAATAATTACAAGAACAAGACAACCACAACCACATGTGCTCACACCGTTCTAAAGATACTGCTTCAAGAACCACATGAAAAAGGACAACTTTGTGAAAGAATACAATTCGTATTTACTAATTAATTAAAAATAGGTTCAATTGGGAATTATACATTTGGATACGAGCTAAAAGATGAGTGAATCAAAATCTAGTTAAATTCACCTCATGCAAACCCATTTTCAAATCTACCAAAAAATAATAAATCACACAAAAAATAATTTTAAAATCAGTTTTACGTACTTCTGCAAAGTTAAAGTTTGAAAAATAAGAACATGGGATGGGACATGATTTAGTACTTAACATTAAGAAATTTTCATTGGATATTCATAACATAAACGCGAAACAAGAATCATTAAAATAGTGAATTTAGTTATAAAATTTATTGAGAATTCTTAAATTATTTCGTCGACAAAAATTGCCATATTTTGTACCTCTATTTTTTGACGCACGCTTTTCATTAATTTGATCTACAAGCCCTATGATTACGTTGTATTTGCACCATAAAAGTTGTGATTTTTCACTAGAGAAAAATTTAATTTTGTTAATAATAGTTTAAAAAATATTTATTTGATTCTTATTCTTACTTGTTCTTTTATAAAAATTTCTTTATAATTCGACTTTCAGTAAATAATTTATAATCGTTTTAATATATTTAATTAATTTCAAAACTGTACAAAATAAACGATATTTGAAATTGTTTCTACGCTCAACAACAATACCTTAATAAAATAAGTAAGATCTATATTGTTTAACGAAACGACATCAATCTTGAGACTATATAAAATTAAATTTTGTTCAAAACAAATTTTCTTAAGTTAAAGAATATGATATAATTTTCAATATTTTTGCCAATCTTGTAAATGTATTTCAGTATAAGTAATATATAGAGAACACGCAACATTATGTACCATAATATATAACAACCTCTAGTTGATAATAATACTAGTAAAATAGATTGACATATCTTTTGTTACATTTTATAACTAGCACTATGAGAAAAAAATACAAAACAAAAAGATATTTACTTCGTTAGAAATATCTGGAGGAAAAATCTACAGTGTAGAAAAATTTTATATCCGGAAATAGAAAATTTGGTATCTTATTAGGGAGATATTCAGATTTGTGGTAGTTCTGACTACTCTTCTTGCGTAGAAATACCTTTGGGATAGTAGGAAAGCTAGTGCAGTTACATGTGCAATTCATTGAACTTCAGACTGAAACATGCTACATTCAATAGCAGCAAGAGTGATAAGCAACTACATTATGAGCTCATCTAATCAAAAATTAGTAAAAAATAACAAGAAAACATCGTGCATTAAAATGATTTTTACATTATCTGCAAATGAAGGTAACACTAGAGGGAGAAAACTGACAGGTGAACTCCAGATCTTACCATGCGTCTTACCAAGTGAACTAAAAATTTTAAACTGAACTCCTAAAAATGACTCCAGAAATTTAGGATCTTCCTAACAATTGATGGATTGCTTTGGAACAACGAATATGCACGGAAGAAAATTTTTTTTCCACACGACTCTGCTCTTTTGACAATTCTACGTAGCCACTGTGGTTGGCACTATTTCCAAAAGCACTTTTACGAACCGTCAGAAATTATGACTATCTGCATTTAGTACGATCATTTGACTGCATGAATACCTGCTATTGTCAAAATAATTGCGATATTAACGACTGGTGTTGAGAATTTCTGAGCTTCAACGCTTCAGATCTTTGTGATCATATTCCTCATTTCTAAGCCATAGCTACACTACTAACACCCAGTGACGCATTGTTCAGTTTCACTGACGTGGAGTTGCACCTTAACTGCATTCTGTCAGTTCCGTGTTATGCTGTATAAACAAACGGAGCTGGTTGCAATTTCGTACAAATGTAATTCCATGCTTTCATCGGAACTCAAACATGCATTCCACTACGTAGTCGCAAAATGATGGAACGAGAACAGTACAACTGTGGACAATGAACCACAGCGCTTGATGTCAAGTCGATAGAGAAATGGTGGCAGAAAAACTGAAGATGTGTCTGAGCAGCGTATTCATGGTGCTAACCCATGGGAGTGCCACAGGCGAAAGTGTTTTCGTGTTTTCCCTCTTTTATCGTCTCTCACTTTCTCTGAGCGGGAGCTGTGCGCGCTAGTGGCGCACTCCTTTGAGAGAAAACGCCACGGAGGAACGAGCTTTCCGTCGGGGCGTCGGATTCCTTCGGTTCCACAGCCACCACTTCCCGGTCGACCTCAAGCGCTGCGGGGGCGCGGCCTGGCGCAGGCAAACAGCACTACACAACAAGCGAGAGGCATTCGCGGAGGCGGCAACGCCCGTGCGAGGAGCATGCAGACGGCGGCGCTAGCGCTCGAGCCAGCCGCGCTTCTGCCCGGCGCCACCAGGCCGCAGCAGCAGCGGCGGCTGTCCGGGGCTCTCGATGGACTGACCTGCCAGCACCTCGGGTTCAGGTGAGATCGCGGAGTAGGGCAACTCTGCAGTGAGTTGCGAGCGAGGCGGGCGTAGAACAGGCGGAGGCGGGTCGGTGCGGTCAGGCAGGGCAGGGCAGGGCGTTCAGGCGGACGGGCAGGCACACAACAAAACAGACACAACGCACCGTGAAAACAGCAAGCTCAGGCTCCTGCAAGCGCTCGCAGCGCCCCGCCGCCGCTCTGAGGCCGCACAGACAACTTTAAAGCGGAGAAGATAGATAAGCTACCTGTCTAGGGCGAGGCCGACGTTCTGTTTGTAGTGCAGACTCCTCGGCATTTGTTTCAAAATTCGCCAAATTCCAAGTTCCGAATACGTGCTTATCAATATTGCACTTGTGTCACATCTTTACGCCAATAATTATGATGAGAATTGTTTCTTCGCGAAAACGCGCAAAAATGCAATGAAGTGGCTCAAAAGCACATTTCCGAAAACACTTGTTCCATATTTTACAGCATTCCGCACGATCTCACACATCCGTTATATTACTTACTGGCAACTATGATATACTAGAGAGAGAGAATGACACGTTTAAATTACACATTCTACATCACAGCCGTTGTGGACTGCTGTATTGAGCCTGCACTACAAACAAAATGTCGGGCGAGCCGTAGAGGGAAGATAACAGTGCACATTATCTGATCTTTGCTTAATATACCACGAGCAATCAAGACAATAGCCAGAAACCTACTTTTTTTATTTCTTCTTTTGAAATGATCTCGTATTTAAATGTAAAACGATTTCCCAGTGAGCCGGAAAAAATGCACAAAAGAATAAGAGCATCTATTATCAATGGTTTTGCTTACATAAAGCAAGGTATTACTCGTACTGCAATCAACATTACAAATTAATTTTACGTTCGTTCCGAAAAGTTTTCTTTGTTTTATGAAGCAAATTAAAACAAAATTTTTAGATATAAGGCGATTAATTACACACTTATTTCGTGTTCTTAAACAATCTGTAATGCTTCCTTAAAATCTGAAATGAAGTAAAAGAAATATATAAATATTCATTTATTACTCGTGGTGTTTTTACACACAAAAAGTTTCCTTGCTGATCTTTATGACTGGAAGAATAAATAAAAATGAAGAGGCGTGAGAAAGTGTTTCGTGCTACTTAGAAAATTAAGAAAAGCTAGGGGATCTTGTGCACATTTATTGATGTGAAGGAAGGTAACATATAGCGATGTTTTTGTGTGTATTAAATCTATTGCATGCAGAAAAGATAAAATGTGGCATTTTTATTTACGTATTATTTGT